TGTCGAGCGCGCTGTTTCTCGGAGAGCTCGCACCTGTGCCGGCCATCTCAGGTCGCAATCCACGAGGTATCTGTTTGAATGATGCTAGGCGAAATTTGAAGACTGCCATTCATGCGTTGGAGGCGGAGAGTCGGCGGGAAGGACCGTCACAACAGGGTTGCCACCGTATCGATTTTTAAACCGTAACAGAAGATACGACATGTGCTTCAGGATGCTTCAGGTGGTCCACTTTTCTCCAAAATCCCAAATGCAACTGCCTGCATGTTCTTCAACGAGGTCACCTACAACGAAAGTACGTATTTTCCTTTCATACAGCAGCGTGGGTAAAGTTTCATGTTCAAGGCAACACCTACAGATTCAAGAATACTAGTTCATCCCACCATGACGCCATGTGATAAGTGCTGACAGGGGCACCCTTATTGGGCAGGGAAGTGGTGTTGCTTTGATGGAATTCATTTAGAGGGCGAAGTCTCTTCGCATCACTGGTCAGTCAGACAGGATGCCAGGGGAGGGACCGCGGTCAATCCTTGATGGAACGTTTTTTGAACCGATTGAAGACTCTTCGTCCGGAACCACTACCTTAAAGGCAAAGTGCCAAGCCGCGAAAAAATAATTTCGGGACAAAAAACAAACAAAAAAACTTTCCCTTTAAACGTAAGGCCTCATCTCAGTTGGCGTCTCAAGGAAATTTGAAAAATGTATTGCATTATCAGTATTTATAGTTCTGCCATCCCTAAAATGTATTCTTGTATTTGTATTTCCAAAGACTTTTTTCCTCTGTTTAAAATGCATTTTCGATACGTATTGTGATACATTTTTACAGATATATTTGAGACTTGAGTATCAGTATGTTAGCAACTATTTTCATCTATCCCAGTATTTGTATTTCCAAATACATTTTTCAATATTTCTGCCCAACCCTGCAACACAATGTAGCTCTCAAGTGACACTTTTAACGTTTACGAATGAGAGGAATGGAATGGAACGATTCAGCCATTCCAGGAGTGGGAATGGGGCCAGTGTCCCCACTCCTGGGAGTTGAGAGGAATGGAATTATCGAAAACTCTAATTCCCCGGAATGGAATTGGAATGGAATGGGGGTGCCCATTCCGCATCACTGCTCCCCACTGGCTAAGTTGCGCAACACACGTGCTCCCTACTTCACTCCATTTTACAAGAGAGGCGAGGGGGTGTCTTCGCGCCGCGACCACCGGGGAGCAGGACCGCGGGCGCAAAGATGCGCTCCGATAAGAAACCGAAATCTAGAAACGCGTCCAAATTTCTCAGAACGCCGTAAAATGCTGCCCCGGCGTTGTATCCTTCTAAAAATAGTTGATTTAGCGGATTTTAATGATGCTCAGCAAGTTTCTAATCGGAAATATGTCTATTTTCACTAACTAAAACGTTAATTCACGAATTTTATATAAATAGCCAACGTACGTCAAAGATTATCACCCACATTATGTCCGCCTGGCCGTATAACCCACCTGCGTAAACAGGATTAGTATAGCTTTCACGTTTTTTCTAAAGAAATGTGTAAGAATAAAAAATAAAAAAAAAATGTGTATATAGAATGAGCCGTCCGTTGTTGCTCTTTTCACAAAGGCTTTTCTTTTCTTCTCAGTTATATATATATACATATATATACAGGGTGTTTCAGAGAACTCAGGCCAAATTGCTCCTGCGAAAACTACTCATCGCAACAAAAAGGGCTTGTGTCGTTTTGGTCCTGGGTCAGGGGCCTATTTGGGAAAATTATTAAAGTCCGGGATAATAAGATTGTTAATTATTTTTCGTAATTAACTTTTTTAATATTGTGTTTAAGGGCATGGTTTCAAATAGAAAATTGCTCAGCCTAATCAAAAAAACACTAAATCAACAAATTGCAGAACGATAGAAGGCACACGAAGCATTTTACGGCTTTCTGAGAAAACGCACGAATTCGCCAGGTTTTTAAGTTTCGGTTTACTATCGGAGCGCATCTCGGCCCGGGCGGGACCGCCCCCCGTGGAGAGACAGTGCAACAAACCTCTGCTGCGCCGTCATCGCGCGACGCAGCAGAGGCTGGTTGCACTATGTCTCCACGGGCCGCGGTTCCGCCCGGGCCGAGATGCGCTCCGATAGTGAACCGAAACTTAAAAACCTGGCGAATTCGCGCGGTTTCTCAGAAAGCCGTAAAATGCTTCGCGTGCCTTCTATCGTTCTGCAATTTGTTGATTTAGTGTTTTTTGATTATGCTGAGCAATTTTCTATTTGAAACCATGCCCTTAAACGCAATATTAAAAAAGTTAATTGCGAAAAAATAATTAACAATCTAATTATTCCGGACCTTAATAATTTCCCTAAATAGGCCCCTTGCCCAGGACCAAAACGACACAAGCCTTTTTTTGTTACGATGAGTAGTTTCGCAGGAGCGATTTGGCCTGGGTTCTCTGAAACACCCTATATATATATATATATATATATATATATATATATATATACGCTTTTCTAATTCCAGTTTAGTCAGGTACATTACACCAAACGGTAGTTATATGTATTTCTACATAACGATCAGGACACTCGAACATACCGTTAAGAGTGTTGCTGCTGTAGAAAATGAAATGCAAAGATTTCTAAGCTGCACAAAAATCACGGTTCATAAAACGAACTCTGTGGAAGGATTTCTTTTCTAGTCTATTTCAGGAATGATGGATGATGGAACGACCGTAGGCTCTAAGACATAGCGTCTCTCCGGAACTAAAGGGTGTCATCTTCAATCAACGAAACTGACCTACCGTAGTGTCGTGTTCTGTATGTTTCGTAAAACCAACCGCAAGCGGAACATGCATGGGGGCATTGATATTGGCAATGCGTTGGTTACACCCACTCAGACATTGAATTCGTTGGAAGACATACAGGGTGTCGTTTTCTAGAGGAAGTCACATTTTAAAAAAAAGAAAGACACAAAAAAAACGGAACTTGCTTTAGGGCGTTTTTAGCTGTTCTGCTAAGTTTGAGGCATTAGGGGTCATAGAAAAGAGGCAAAATCGCGAAAATGCTTAGGTAAAGAAAGACAACATTGGTTTGCGGGTTATATTTTATTTTAATTTATGTTGGACATAATGTTGTTGTAGAATTGATGCTTAATCTTAGTGCAGTGGAGACGAGACGCGAGTATGTTATGAAGAGAAACAATTAGCTGGTTTTACGGGGCGGCAAACTGTAATCCTATACACAACAGAAGCAACCGGCAAAGCGCGACCTTGACATTGATCGCTCTCTCCTGTCCTTTCTCTGCTACCCACGTCTCTGAGCCGCCGGTGACGTCAGTAGTACGAAGCAAGCGTAGAGCAGAGGAATCGACGTGACGGACGCTCTTCACCTGGTCAGTTTCCGCATTACATTGCACGAACTGAGATTTCTCGCTTCTTAAAGTTCACTGCGAAATTTAAAGCGGTATTAATCTGGTAGACCCATAAGGCCAAACACCGTGAGAACCACTTAAGCTCGCAAAAATGTAGGTCGGTCATTTGGTAACCGCTGAACAATCTTGAGAAAAGGGCAACCGGTATCAGGGATCGAACACCCGTCACCGGCGAGAACGTTGACTGCGCTGCTAACTGAAATATGGACCCAGCACGCAGAAACGGGAGGAGAAAAAGCAGGTGGTGTGAAAAACCGCACGGATCGGAAAGGGGTGGAAAGGACAAGGAAGAGAGGAGCAGAAACAGTTGGCCTAGAAAGAGCACGTCAAACGAAGACGAGTGTAAAGGGCAGGGAAACGCGCTTCCCCTTTTGTGGTGACCCAGAAAATTCAGAACAAAGGCTTTGTATCCGGGTAAAGGTGAAGGGAAGCGCGCGCAATGTCACAACGAGACAATGGTGGGACGTAATCTGTTTCTATATAAAACCCTCCCGTAGGAGCCGCCTGAAACTAAGAGCACCACCCAGCCTATAAAGCTATCGCCTTTAAACGCGTTTGGCAGAATGACCAAAGAAGCAGCCAGTTTTTAATCATACCTCAAATTTTCATGTTATGGTTGGATTATACTGAGGTCAATCTTCGTTTCTTTATCACATTACGAGACAAAAGTGAACCGGAAGACATTCTATTGCACATGTTTATTGATATATTTTACTAAATTTGGTTCACTTCTCGAAGGACCTCTAGCTACAAACAAAGCCCAAAGGTTGTGAAATCAGCCACGGTGGTAAAAAAAAACTGTAACTCAATTTCCCGTTTTTACACATTACGCCCTTCCCCCCCCCCCCCCAAAAAAAAAAAAAAGACCAAGTATACACGTTTTACTACCGGAAGGAGTTGTACATAAAATAAAATATTTATTGTCATGAATAATCCTGACGGGAAACAAACGTGCTGGTAGGTTGGTGATTATAAAGTTTCACAATATCGCAGCATGTCAATTTATGGCGGCCTGTGAGTGCACATATTGGCTATTTTGATGTCGTGCAACTATTGTTACTAACTTAAAAGTTTCAAGAAAATTGTTCAAGGCCGACATTCCAGAATGTGCAACTCTGACGCAAAGGGAAAGTTTGTATCTTTAATGGTGCAGCATTGGCTATGTTGTGTTTTCCTGCCATTGTGCAGGACTTGTTGATTTTCTCGACGACTTTCCCGGTTTAAAAGTTGCTGATGGCCTTTGTGTCTATTCAATCCTTCACATAAAATTTCGGATTTTCTTTTCGAACTGTTTACGCTTTGCCGCAATGTGACCATATATCTTATTGCAGTGCTATGTGAACAATATATCGCGCCCATCCCCCCTTTCTTTTTCCACAGTTTTTAATTTTTTACATGTTTGTGTGGAATTCTAGCGAACGTTGAAAGTGAAAAGTCACGAGATTTCATTTGCAGCGCAATGACAGTTGTTCTTCACAAAAACATTAAATATGTTTTATTAACAACTCATGTCAATCAGTATGAAAGTCGCCTACAGGCTAAAATATTTGAAGGAGATGCTACACAATAGTTAATACATTTATTGTCTTCTCAGGACGAAGATTACCAGCACCGACACAGCTCACGACGTGCTTGAGGCCGACGCCAAGCTCCTTCCCGCCGATGTACAACGAAGCATCACCAAGGAGAAGTTGTCGAAGTTCAAGCGTATATGCGATGCCTTTCTCAATCTTGCTGCAAGGGACGATCCGAACGAGGTGGTGCAAGAGATGACGCTGGCTGTCAGAGAGTGTACGCCCAAGGCGTACTACATGACTGGAGGCCAAATGGACTGTCTGGCTCGCTGCCTTATCGGTGTCATCCCCGTAGAACTCACAGACGCGTGGATCTCGCTCCTCCTAAAACTTATTTTGTGGGGACGATCGAAAGTAAACAAAAAATGAGCAAAACAAAAATACTATAATGCAAACACTTCATGAAAACAGTCCTGGAATAATCGAAACGCTCTATAGTGTTCCTAAAGACTTTGCCAAAGAATACATTTTACTCTGTGAATATCAAATGAACTCGGACTCGACAGATTCTGCAGGGTGATACAAGGAGACGCCTGCTGTTTAAATCGAACGGAAAATTCGGTTTCTTAACCCATCGCGCTACGACTCTGTGCAGCGTTGCCCACAGATGGTGCATTTTTTTTGTAAAATTTGCGAAGAGCGAACTTACTTAAGGAAAAAGTAAAGAAACAAAAAGGCTTAGCTCCTATGGAAACGCAGCGACGCCACTGGTCTGCAATCAACACGGCGCCGTTTCGAACGGGAGACAAAAGATGGCGCAACAAACGCCGCCAACGAACGAGCATACGGCGCCTAGAGCAGGCATTTTTAGCAGACGATCTTTTCGACTCAAAAGCGGCGCGCGTTCCGCAGGTGGCGACAGTCACAGAAACAAAAACAGGCGCGGTAACAGCAAGGAACTGCAGTTCCTTGTCTGGTAAAGGGCCGGCTCTCGGCGTCGTCTGCTCGTTCGTTGGCGGCAGTTGGCGTCGCGACCACTTGCGCCACCTCTTGTCTCGCGTGCGAAACGGCGCCGTGTTGTTTGAAGACCGGTGGCGTCGCTGCGTTTGCATGGGAGCTAAGCCTTTTTCTTTCTTTACTTTTTCCTCAGGTGAGTTTGCTCTTTGCAAATTTGACAAAAAATGCACCATCTGTGGGCAACGCTGCACAAAGTCGTAGCGCGATAGGTTAAGAAACCGAATTTTCCGGGCGATTTAAAGAGCCTGGCGTCTCCTTGTATCACCCTGTATGTAGTTTGAATGGCTGGCGTGCAGCCTCGGGGCTATATTCTTTAAAGTGGGAGGGGTGGCTGACGCCATTATTCGTCGTTGACAGCATTCGAGACAGACAGAGAGCCGTCTTTGCTATCTTGGCGAATCCGGCATCACGATACCCTGGGACGTCACCTTCCCTTGGGCGCTAGATGAAAGCGCGACTTTCTTTGAACGCGTGCTCTAAACACCGCTAGGAAATAACATGGTGCTGAATGAGCGCTAATTAAAATTAGCGGTTTACAATGTATTCTATTAGGAAAGCATTTGAGGCCCCAATAAAGCACAAACGAAAGGGTGCGTGGATTTCGATATTGCTCCGCCATTTGAAGGTCCCTATAACTTCATACAATTGCGGGCGTAGACATGGTGGCTTCAAGGATTTGCGTAATACCATGTTTTATACATTACCTAGTTTGAAATTTATTATCACGCTATGGAAACGCTTTTCCTTTTCTCAAATTGAAGCACGAGAAGGAGAGGGGGGAGGGGGGGGGGGGGTTGGCGACATCAGATATCAACTAACAGATCCCTCGGGAAACTTAAAGGGAAACTCCGCTTCATTCTTGGTTGTGAAAACACAATGCAGCTCTCTTTATTATAATCTAGAGAAACCACATGTCAAATATTAGAATATAATATCACCTAAATGATTATTAAACCGGCCAGCAAAGACTAAGATGCCCGTAATCACCAAAATTTGCTAATTTAGCCGGCGACGTGCAGCGCAGCCAACCTTGCATTTTCGTTGTGGCTGACGTCTGGTGCATGCGCAGTTTTTTTCTTGGCATTTTCTTTTCCAGGGAGAGCTTACCACATAGCACTACCGGCGCTCCATGTCTGATCGAGAGAAGAGGCAAAAGAGAGACGAAAAAGGACAAACGAAAACAAAAAAAACCTGAAGAGGGGAGGGTGGTACGGGATGTCGCACGCTATGTTTCACTGTCTAGCTGCTTGGGTTGCCGCATATATAGCCTGCTTCGTCGTCACTAATGTCATTGGGTAAGGGGAAAGTAGCGCCAAGGTGAGGAACGGAAATTAGTAACTGGTCGATGCAACCAGCTCATGCTTTCCCTATTGAGTTCTTAAAAAAATGTCAGATAGAAAGAAAAAAAATAACAAAAACAACTCACCACTGAAATAATTAAAAAGTTTCTTACCACTTCACGATGCAAGAATACAATAAATCAATCTCCCCATGCCGTGATGCATGAAGTAAACTTTAGAAGTTTTGCACGTGCGACAACCTCGCAGGTGCTCTGCGTGAGTCAAGTGACTATTCGTGCGCTGAAAACGAGACTGCGCACACCGTCTCGAGCTCTGCTTCTCGTCATGTGAACTAAAGTTATGGCAGCGCCATGCATGTGGCAAACGCTTGGAGAGATTGGTCTATTGCTAGCTAAAGTTGCTACCACACGGCATTAGCAGTGTCGCGTCCCTACGCTACTGGTTCCACATTTCGAGTTTCTCTGCTTTACTGCATGACGCTCATTGTACTTCCGCAGAGCAAAGCGCCGCCTCATCAACAGGAAAGCTGAAACAAATTTTTGTGCAACCTTATTACCGTTCGGGAGATGCTCTCCTGAAAAATCACAAAGCACCAGTGCAGTTATGCTTGGTTCGTCAGCAGTACGATTTACAATGTGCGATTTCTGTGTTCGAAAGACAACCTCACACGTCTCCAACAAGCCAAAAACAGGTGTCGACACCATGAACTGTGCGTTTGACTCATTAGGGCTTCAGCAAGACTTCTACTGAATCGATTCCTGTGGTCCGTGTTCTGAGGGTATGTTAGTGCAGCTTTGCACCTGGCTCAAAGTTTTATTTTTATTTTGTGCAGACGGCTTTTACAGTATACCCACAAAGGTACTGCAGCGAGAGTTAATCGGTCGACTTCAGCCCACTTCTTGAAGTGGTAGCAATAAGGTCGTCGACGAGCTGAGCTAACATCTGAGACTGAGTATCTTCATTAGGCAACTCCCACTCAGATTCCTTTTGGACGACGATGTCTTGCAACACCTCTTCCGGCTCAGCCTAAATTTTAGAAAGAATGTCCGCCAGATAATAGGTCTCGATCTCATGGGTCCCTGTGTGGCATAGTTGAAAAAAACTGACAGCGCAATTGTACGCAAAGCAGTTTTAAACTGCACAGGTCGCGGAACGGTATTTTTTTGCCTAACGATATTGAAGAGGTTCTCAGGTGCGTTTTGATGGAACCGACTGAAATGCAAGTACCTGAAACCATTCTCTTTAAAGTAAAGGTCTTGGATAGATAGAGCCGCAGTTGTGATGAGGACATCCGTTTGTACAGGTTTCCGCGCTGGCTTCTTAACTGATCCTTGGATTGTGAGTCGTTTGAAGAGGTCCAGCGCTTCAGACAGAAACTCCACGGCGTCGTCATGTTTCCCAGCGTCAATCTCACTCATCACCAGGCTCATATTGCGCGATGGTAACAGGCGGAACCACTTAAAAATAATTTTCGAAACCACGCTGTCGTTATAGCTCAGAGGACATCTGGCCCTCTTTCACGAGCGCCCGTATTGCCGACCCTGTGCTGTGGTTTATCACAGCCAGGGCCGAGGCAACGCTCATTTTTTCATAATGGCGGCGATCAAGATGACTGTCCTTTAGGTGGAGTGCCAGCTTCAACTCGCTTGTTCCATTTCTTTGGGCCACCTCTTCGACATAGTTGATCGACACCTGCATAGCAAAATGTTCAGATAAGCAAGGGGAGAGCACGAGTGATATGCTACTACACTTATAGTATCAGATGAATATTTGAGCCGAAGTGGTGACTGATGATGATTGACAAGATTCCAAATTTACCTCGTTTAATGGAAGGTTGTGCTTCTGTACCATCTCGTGCGGAATGACGATATGCTGTCTTCACACAAGATTATCTCGGGGGTTTTTGAGGATGTGCGGTGCACCTGCTAGGAAGTACAACTCTCGGTCAGACCCGCTGGTACAAGGAGGTTAAGAGTAGACTGAGGTCTTACCAAGATTAGTGGCAGTAATGCCATGTTCCCTCCAAAGGCCCAGGTTCCCTTGGCCCATGTCCGTCATGATGGCGCTAATGGTAAGGCCAATCGACTCGCACTTCTTGATGAGGTCGAATGTGAGGTTTTTCACTTGAGCCGAACAACTGGATGTCCCTATAAAAATTATTCACATCGACTTGCTTTTAGCATCAGTGCTGGCTACTTTTTTTGTTATCCCCTTTTGTCTCAAATAAAAAAAAGTAAACCTTGTCTTCTTTTCATTCGATTTATTCGTAACATAGTTTATTAGTGAGAAATTCTGCCATCTTGTATTTCAAGATACCATTAGCATGTAAATAATCATAAACAGTAGGTACATAAAAAAAAATGTGTGACTACCTGTAAACTCCTACGCAAAAGTTTGCTTCCATCGTTACGACATTCCTCGAAGCATGTTTTGCACGTTCATCACTGGAGGCGTATCCTGGAGCCAGTGGGGCAGTGATCTTTCCGATGACTTTCTTCTAGGATGAGTCATAGTTTTTGCCCGGGGTTATCTGCATCTCATCAATCATAAGAGCAGTAGGCCATTCCCCGGACTGCTTTGAGGCAACATTGGCCTTACAGGCCGACGACCAGGCTCGAGATTCTGCAAAGCAGATCCTCCTCACCATGGGGGAGCAGGGAACAGGCAGCGGTAGACAGTGTAGAAGGGGGGAGAGAAGGAAGCGGGGAAAAAGTGGAAAGCGCGAACTGTTTTTCGGTCTTTAAAGGGGTACTCCGGCGATTTTTGAGATACCTCAACTAACTATATTTTCTGAGTCCCCGGCCTTTACCCTTTCTGGTATGCTATTTAGTATCGCGAAATTCATAATGCAGTTGAACCTTAATTTAACGAAACCCGATTTTACGAGTTTCCCGTTTTAACGAACAAATTCGGATTCCCCGCGCAGCCTATCCCGAAGAATGTCTTTCTCGACTTTACGAAGTTCCCGATTTAACGAAATAATTAGGGGGTCCCGGTCACTTCGCTAAATCGAGGTTCAATTGTAGTTATTGCGAAATCGGCAAATGAAAATGATGCAAAAACCAACATTCAAATATACCCGCACTTTTCAGTGCCGTGACGTCAGTGGAA